CAGCGTCTTGACTCCTAGTTCGTTGAGCTTCTCTTTGAAATGTATGTTCCCAACTCTCGGTGCGGCGAAGGAGATGACGCTGATGACGAGATCGGGGAAGTAAGTCGCGGCGTCACAGGCATTGAGGAGTGCTAATGCACCACCAAGGCTATGACCACAGATGGTTAAGCTTACTTCCTCACCTCGGTTTCGGAAGAATGCTACGAGCCTCCGGATTTCTTCCATGACTTGTTCTTTTGCACTCAACTTGTTGTACCTTGTGAACTCACCCTTGGAACAATAGACGCCAAGGAATCCACTTTGGACCTTGATATTGGTCTTGCCAAGACGCTGGAGGCTTGTTCTTAGGTCACTGTACCACTCGGTCGGAGCCACTGTCCCCGCCATGCCACGAGGATATCTCCCCTCCCGATTCTGTGGTTTCGGCATCACCGGTGACGGCAACATACCCTATCCAATTGGAATCCTTACTCCAAGTACAATATGGCCTCTCGAACCATTCGGGAACATCGACATGGGACATGGCATAAAGGTACTTGGTAACCTTGTAACCGTGCTTAGTAAGGCCTAGTTCTTCAAACGGATTATTCGGATTGTACCTACAGCTTCCGCAAAACTCCGATAATGGATCGAAGTAGGAAGCATCGTATGTGGCCTCGACGAATTCTCCGTACCTGACGATCTCTCGCCTCAGCCAAGGGTGCAGTGGCTCCATTAGCCCATCCCAGTCATGCAAACGATGAAGCTCACGCCATCGCGTGGATACATTCTCCACAGGTGACTTGGTGGGCGTCATAGCATCGCCTCGGTCGATGAAATCCGCCGCCGTGTACGGCAATCGAATGAGCTGCGCCAAAGGCATCGCGGGACGTACCGTCTTCTTCTTCTTTTTCATCAAGTGTCGAATCGGCCTAATGATCGCCAGATCATGATGTTTGAGTTTCAGAGTGGAGAGCTGGTCGAGATTGGAAAGGCGGTTCCTCAGACGGGATTTCATGGCATTTTTTATACGCCGCCATGTAACACTGAGCTTCAATCTCCACACCCTTTTGTTACTACTTTGCTTTTCTGGTTTATTCTTGGCCATGTTTCTCATTGGCAACAACTCCATTTTTCCATTGATCAAAGGAAAAAAGCTTGTAATATATACGATATATATTATGTGCTGTAAACTGAAAACTGGGTTTTCTTTTTCATGCAAATGCCATGGAAGGGTTTATATATAAAATTGTGATTCAGAGTAGGCGTTCTGGCAAGGAGCTTCTGAGTTATGAGCTGCCATCCCACATCTCGATGGAGACTGACAAGTTAATTGGGGACTGAAATAAACAAATAGAAATATGACGAGTTGTTAAAGTGAATCTGGTTAATGGTTAACCATATACGTGCTATTGGGGGCTATTACTCGGATAAGAATATAAAAGATAAGGTCAAATTATATAGAAGGTCCTTGTATTATGTATTTTTAATGAATTTTGTTTATGTACAATCAGTGAGATGACAATTATCCTCGAAAGATGGCTTGATTAATTAATATTATCTTTTACCATCAAGGCTAAACTCGATTTCTCTAAAAAAAAAGAATATTATATTTTACCACAAAGACTATATGATTAATTAATTTCTTTTATATTTGTTTTTTTATAAATCCTTTTATGTTTATTTAAAATAATTTCATTCCAAAACGTTTAATAGTCAATTATATAATAAAGTATATAATATTGACTTATATAATATCGTCTACACTTGAATCCATGCATGAATTAGGTATTTAGAAAATTATATAAAATTATATTTTAAATTTCCACAAATATGATCGTATTCAAAGATGGAATGTTAGCTGTTTTGTCTGGACTCCAATTATAATAAATGACTGTCCCTTTTTCCCATATGTATGGGGTAAGGTGGAGGTAAGATAGTAGGTTACCCCCAACACCAGATTGAGAGCAGCTTCCGTAAGAGACCTCCGAATTATGAAATGCCCTCCGAGGGACTCGATCCCACGACCTCAAGGTTAAGAACCTTGTGCTTAATACTTGGGACTAAAAAATATTTTATTTTATAAAAAAACTCATCAGACATTCAAGTCACTCTCATTTTTAAGATATGTTTTTTTAAACTTTTTTTTTCTCATTTCTTAGCTCTACCATCCTACATCATCGTATAATTCTTTGTTGATAAAATAAATTATTTGAATTTATTATAACTTTTTTGATATAAAAATATTATTTAATTATATTATATCTAAAATTATTTTTAAATACCTTATATTCGAGCACGACATTAAAAGAAATATTTAAACGTTCGTTGTCAATTATTAAAAAATATTTCAAACATATATAACAATAAATCACCCGTACTAAAAAATCTTATCAAATTTCGAAAACCTAACTGTGGTTAGAGACATGCTAACCGATGCTCAAAACACATTCATAACTACCTTCATTATTTAATTAATAAAAGAATAGAAAACACAAAATATATTATAAATGTGATGCATTGGACATATCTTTGAAATATTGAGCTAATATCACGCGTTGAATGTCAAAACTCCCAAGTCCTTCCTCCTACCTATTTTCATTAATAAATATAATATCCAAATATTAAATACGTATATTTTTTTAATAATAAGATTGAGGTTTTTAGAATTTTAAAATTTTAAATTCAATCAAATTATAAATTATTTTTTTCTTAAGAAAATTATTATGATTTATATATTATCATTTGAAATATTTTTAAATTATAAATATAAATGATATTTTAATTTGAATTTAACAGATTTTGACATGATCTGACTTAATAAGATCAATTTTTTTAAACAAATCTAGTTCGAATCAAGTCAAGTGTTATAAAAGGGTGATATCAGGTTGGGTTTTAATTTAGGATAAAAAATATCTTGTCTATCCCGAAATAATAATATCTATATATATTTAAAGATAATTATAATACATTTCTTTCTATATATTTTTGTATATGTGCATATCAAATCAAAAAGTGTACTTTATAAATTGAATCGGATTGATAAAAGATTCGATCCGACTCTCGACGTGTACTCCCCAGTTATAACTTGGGTTGTACTTAAAATATTATATATTTAGGGAAGTTAGGGCAGATAGAAAACTTGTGGTGATCGTCAAAAGGAACTTGTCAAGTTTTGATCGATCTAAATGGTACGGAGGTCGCTCTTAGCATTGTCTGCGCAAACGTGTGAAAGTCCGATGAATTTGTATATATTTTGCAATGGTCAAAACCAACGCGTAATGAGAACTCAAAAAAGCTTTCAACTTCACCATATATATATATAGTTTCCTGCACTTCAAAGTTTTAATAGCAATCGAACACCCCCAACATTTCCTGCTATAATCTGCAACTCTTAAGATTTCCTGTTCCTTAAAAAATGGCCCTTTCAACGATGATCCATACCCATCTTTCCACCACCCTCTACGGAGGCGCTGTTAACCGGATTCCAGCCATTTCCGCCCATCAACAAGTCGATGTCGATACGAAGCTGAATCGGGGTGCTCGACGTTTGGCTGAATCACTGACAAGTCTTCTCCATCTAAACATCGAACCTCCGTCAAAGAAAAATCTTGTTTACACGAACAGGGATTTGTTTGATGAAGATAAACATAACACCCCAACAACGTCTCCCAAGGAGATGATCGCCAACAAATGGCGGCAGCTTCACGGTTCTATGGATTGGGGGAGCCTTTTAGACCCACTCCACCCTTGGCTGCGGCGTGAAATCGTCAAGTACGGCGAGTTTGCTCAAGCGACATACGATGCCTTTGACTTCGATTCTTTCTCCGAGTACTGCGGGAGTTGCAGGTATAATCGTAACAAGCTGTTTGAGAAACTGGGGCTGTGCAAAAATGGTTACAAGGTGACGAAATACATCTACGCCATGTCCTCCATCGAGATGCCGCAGTGGCTCGAGAGGTCGCGGTTGATGGACACGTGGAGCAAAGATTCCAACTGGATGGGTTACGTTGCGGTTAGCGACGATGAGGAGACGCAGAGGATCGGGCGGAGGGATATTGTGGTGGCATGGCGGGGGACGGTGGCACCATCTGAGTGGTATGAGGATTTCCAAAGGAACCTTGAACCGATTGGAATCGGCGATGCTAAGGTTGAGCATGGATTTCTTAGCATTTACACTTCCAAGAACGAATCCACCAGGTACAATAAGTCGAGTGCTTCGGAGCAAGTGATGAAAAAGTGATGAAGTTGGTTCAATTCTATAGAGGACAAGGAGAAGAAGTGAGTTTAACGGTAACCGGGCACAGCTTAGGCGGTGCATTGGCGCTACTCAGTGCATATGAAGCCGCTGTCAATCTCCCCGGCATTCCGGTAAGCGTGATCTCCTTCGGTGCGCCCCAAGTCGGCAACAGCGCCTTCCGAGACGAGCTCGATGATTTAGGAGTCAAAACTTTAAGAGTGGTGGTTAAGCAAGATTTGGTCCCTAGAATGCCAGGGATTGTTTTCAATGAGAGTTTGCAGAGGTTTGATGATATAACAGGAACACTAGAATGGGTTTATACACATGTTGGTGCCGAATTGAGGCTCGATGTTAGTTCGTCGCCTTACCTTAAGCGCGGTTTCAATCCGATGGGATTTCATAGCCTCGAGACGTACCTTAATCTTGTTGATGGGTTCCACAGTGCAGAGTCTGCATTTCGATCCGATGCTCGTAGGGATGTTATCTTGGTGAACAAGGCATGTGATATGTTGGTGGATGAACCAAGGATCCCTCAATGTTGGTACCAATTGACTCACAAAGGATTGGTTTGTAATGAACACGGCAGATGGGTTAAACCGAGACGAGAACCCGAAGACATTCCCTCACCGATCGGAGATCAAGCACACGAACATAGTCTTAGAATTCAGATGCAGGAAAATCATCAAATGTTGAATGCAAGCTGTCAAACTTGACTGTATATTGATCAAGAAATGCAAAGCATTTTTCAAGGCAAAGTTGACTTCTTAATCAATCCAATCCAAATATATATAGACAGCAATTTACTTCTGTGAATACATATATGTATACATTTGGTGTGATTCACTTACAGGCAAGTATTCGATCAAATCGGCAAGACAGTCTTCATGCCCTTGTGCATTGTTCGAATCACGGTTGTAACCTGCTCAATCTGATCTTCACTAGAACATGCAGAGAGAAGTACCTTGGCAGTTCCTCCATCTGGATAACAGCCGGCGTCGATCATTTCCTCGAAAATCTCTAAGCATCTTGTATATAGTTTCTTTCTAGAGTAGGCTCCGAGCCGTGAAGTCCAGGTTACCACATCAGGTGTCAAATTCTTCTCAGGAAGCGATTCGAACAATTCTTCCATTCGGTCGAAAAAGCCAGCCCGTCCGTAAACATTGATCAAAATGTTGTATGTGCTAATATCAGCTTCATAAGGCCCCTTTTCCATTGCAGTCAAAACTTTCTCCATATTTTCAAATTGACCCAACTTGCCATACAAGTTCAACATACTGTTAAGGACAAAGGTATCCGGTTGAAGTCCGGACTCCTGTATTTGGTTCACAATATCCTCACACTTGGCTACATTGCCGACTCTGGAGTAGGCAGAGAGAAGTAGCATGTGAGATTTCATCGTCGGCGTTATTCCTAGCTTCTTCATCTCTTCGAATACCGATTCAGCGTCTGAAAATATACAGGATCGGTATATGGTGAGATATCTGCAGTATGTCAAGACTAGAAATATATCATATGGTAACTAATACGAGTCCGATAATATCTCAAAAATCATGCAAGTGATGATGAAATGCATGCAGTCCGGCGTAATTCCTGAGTAACACCATGTTTTCGATTTTCAATAAAGATATTTACCCTCATAAAGGCCAGCTCTACCATATGCATCAACCATGATATTAAAGGATGCTCTGTCTGGTTCACACCCCATGTGCTGCATGAGTGAAAAAACTTCTGCCGCTCCGTACGGATAACCTGCACGACTGTTGGGGATGAACGTTACTCGGAGTCAAAGAACTCAACTTCAGCTAGTGCAGGGTATAGGGAAGTAACAGAATGATAAGGGATTTGAACCTGTAAGCTTCCATGAGTGCATTGTAAGAATACACATCAGGCTCGTGCCCAGCTTCTTGAAGCTGTTCGAAAATCTCTTCGGCCTTCTCACAGAGTCCCTCCCTGGCGAAAGCATTCACCAGAGCCGTGTATGTGCAGATGTTCGGTTTACACTTTTGACTTCTCATTTCATCAAATAATTTCAAGGCCATATAAGATTTACTTGCCTGCACAGCAACTTAGAATGTATGAACCTCTGAATTACGTTCGCCGATCATCGGGATAGTTTTAGTTTACCTTCCCATATAAGTTGATCATCAGCGTGTAAGTTTCGGTATTCGGTTGACATCCTTCTCTCTTCATCCTCTGAAAGACTTCTATAGCCTTTTGGGAGTTTCCTCCCTTCATCAACCCATCAATATAAGTATTGTAAACAATTGCACCTGAAGATAAGATCATTTATGTAAATCCAAAGCAAAAAATGTAATAGACTAACACCATTCAACATCAAAGATCACACATTGATATAGAGAGGCAGACATACTTGGGGAGAGACCATCCTTTCTCATCTCGGCAAAGACAGCTTCGGCTTTCTGTTTCAGCCCGGCTTTGCAGTAGGCCTTGACAAGAAGGGCATAAGTATCTTCCGTCGGTATACATCGAGCTTCGAGAAGTTCCAAGTACGTAGATTCGACCTTTTTGTGCAAAGATTTCTGCCCATAAGCTTCTAGCAGCAGATTGAAGCACATAACATCCAGCTGAAAGGAGCTCCTTTGCAATATCCATTCACAAAGCTATAGAAATAATAACAAATCAACAAGAATAAGAAGAAAGTAGTACTAATGGTTAATGGTAGATTGTTCTAACCAGCACAATTGGATCCCATTTTTTGTTTAAACGGAGTTGAACAGCTACATTGATAAGATCATCCCAATTAGCATGAGTGGGAGGAAGATTATCGAGTGAACCCCGAATCCTATCGGCATCGAACTCCTCCTGGAGAAAATCCAGAATCTGCTGAGCAATGGGGCTCAAAACAGGGAAAACTCCATCCACAAAACCAGAACCATATTTCCATCCCTGACCTCTTAAAGAACCACCTACACGGATAAGATTGAATTCTTGGAGACTATTCAAAACGAATAGATTCAAGTATTCAACTATAAAGCACTTGCAGAAAGCATTACATCGTTTCCTGGATAGTTTTTTGTGATTAAAGGTCCTCAATTTGCCTCGTTTGTCAATGTAAACACCATCACGTTTCCATTTCTGGATAGAAACATCACTTGAAGAACTCTTTGCTGCTATCCATCTGGGCCTATAGCTTCTTGGTTGAATGTAAACATGGTTGAGCGTGTTTCCAGCAACCAGCCTGAGAAAGGTCATTGTTTGTTTATTACGTTTAATGTAATAATGGTGACTGAAAATGGAAACCCAGTTCGGAAAAGAAAGCAAAGGCCACATAAACCAGCAAAAACAAGAGAGAAATTAAGAAACAGACATCAGAAAACTGCCCCCAGAGAGTCGGAAATGGATATAACAATGGAGTTGAAGAAGATTGAAAATGGAAACGCCAGATATATAGAAAAGCTAAGAATTGAACTTAACATGATGAATCCGAAGAGGACAAGCTTGCAGTTGAATGCTTGAGATTTGAGAATTTCCTTGGAAAAGATAACGTGGCCGAGAGAACGACAATAATAATGCGGACAACGGGTTTTAGAAATATCTTGTAATATGACACTAAAGATTTTGTCGTCATCTTTATTTTATTTAAATTCAGATTATTTTCATGTTAATTTAAATTGGTTTTGATGGAATAAATTTAAATTGTTAACTTTTATTATTGATTTGAATTTAAATATATTTTTTCTTGAATTAATTAATGATATCAGATCTATTTATTTACTAGTCTAGATTAGGTATTGCAGAGGCAAGAGCGACCCTCTCAATTCCGTTTGTTTCATTCACAAACGCAAAGTTTGAACCATTGACATTGCTTAAAGAATATATTATCTCATCCCATTAGACTAACTGGTTGTTAATATCTCCAATATACTTTAAACTTATATAAAGAGTGTAATAAATTTAGCCTAAACTAGAAGTCTCGAACCACGTAAATAGGGACAGACGCAAGAATTTATGTTATATTATAAATTTAGAAAATACAAAATTATAAAATGTTAAGGGTGAAAAATTAAACAATCAATAAAAAATACAAAAAGAAAATACGTAAAATATAAGAAATTTTAAAATTTCTAAATGGTATGACCGCACCCCCAACACACCTCTCGGTCCATCCTTACACATAAAAATGATCATTTTGATTAATTATATTTTAGATATTATAAAATAATCACAAAATTTAATATACTATTACAAAAGTAATTATTAAACTTAATAATTTTTTTATTATTCATAACAAAAAAATATCATATAACATTTTAATAAGTTTTATAATTATTTCATAACATATAAAAATTTGATAATAAAAAAATCATTTTAGCATAATTCAATGACTTCTTATATACTTTATCCAATAATTTATTAAATTACTCATTTCATTCATTATTTTTGTCATACTACCTAACAACACCCTCAAAATGAGGGAAAGGATCGAGTGAATTAGAAGTTAAATTTACTGAAAGTGATTGTATAAAGTAAATAAACTAAACCCGAAGTTCATAACTCAATTCGATTTCAGTTCCAGCATCAAACAAACATTGGTAAAGTTCTTAGTCTTCAATTCCAGTGATGAACTATAAACATTTGACCGAATCGGATGTCTCGAAACAAATGTTGTGTAAAAAAACACTCGTAGATAGTCTAGAAAGGGAAGACAAGTTACTCGACTTCAGCCAAATAATCATCAATTTCAGCTGGCGTAAGTACCCTGCAAGATAAAATGCAGAATCAGAGTTTATTCAGAAACAATGGTTACTGAAATTAAGAAACAACATCGCATGAACAATAGCAGTAATTGCAACAAGCAAGATATAGGTATTGATTTCACAAGGACTGACTGACACTTCCTAAAGCCAAAAGGCCATTTTCCCCATCATCAAAAATTTGAGGAAGGGAGAAGAGTCAAAGCAGGGACTTGCCTGAATTTTTTGTCCATCCCAATGATCCCAATTTCGATGTTTTTCCCTGAGATTTGTCCTTCAAATCTGAAAATTTGAGAAGTGGCTTGTAAGATTAGTAAAAGATGTGCAACGTTATAGACCACCTTAGACCAATATTCTTCCCAAGGTTGTAAACAAATAGATTATAGATCTTCCTAAACTCCAAAATTTACATAACCAGGGGGAGGAAATTTAACATCGACTTACCCCTCTTTGAGAGTCAAGATAGCAGTATGCACGGCATCATCGAGCTCCATATCATCAGTGTATCTACAAAGAAAGACCATAATCAATTGCATTTGCAGTGTTTCAATGACAATGAAATGTTGAGTAAAAACAAAGTGCAACTCAATTCTGGAAATCTTGCATAGCTATTGAATAATCCTAATCATGCAATGGCTGTCCGTCATCTTGAAGGAACACTCCTAAAACTCACAAGCATCACTGACAAAGAATCGGATGCCACAATCATCCATATGAAAGTTTCAAAAAGAGTTAAGAGTACTAGTGCTGGTTATACTACAAACAGTGTCAAATACCAGAATGAATAGTAACATATGGGAGGAAACATCAGTTGGTTTAGATTTGAATGCTATAAAAACTACAATTTATTGCAGATACCTCTTCTCAAGAAATGTTTTTGCATTTGAGACATTCTTCCCCATTGCGAGGCTTTCCATGAGAAATATGAACCAGATGGATCCACCTAGCCAAAAGTTACAGATTCATACAGCTGAAAGCACGTAAAACATTCTATGCACTCCCTCAAGCAATCTGATGTTAGCTAAGAGAAATACCTGATACAACTGTGGACCATTGTCATCATATCCAGCAACCAGTAGAGATACACCAAAAGGCCTTACACCACTACAAATGAAAAGAAATATCAGTCCAGAGGGTTGCAAGAGTTTCAATTTCCATTTTCTGATATTATTCAAAACAATCCCAAATGTAGCAGCAACGTATGTGAAAAATTAACAATCTATTGCAAATTTTCCCAAAAATAAAGTTCATTCAAATTTTACACTTTCAGCCCCCACTCGAGGCAGAATCTTAAGGCCAAAACCAGATTTGAAGGGACTTTATCTCACAGGAAAAAAATTTAAGAAAAAATTGTATGAGAATGAACCCACTTTCTCTTTGGTCACCAACTATGTATCTTGAAGAAAAGCACAGCCTGGATTTGACTGAAAAGAGACTACCAAACAACTCAAACTCTTCGATACAATTCAAAAATAGAAGTAAAAAGTTATAAATAACAGTTCCTTTTTGGTTAGCACAAGGACATAATTCTTACCCAGACTGAGTGAACTCCTGCATAACAGCTGCCGTTTCCCTTACAAGTTGTGTTACTGGAATTGGTTCCTGGAAACAATGTTCACGCATGTTAGACAATAATGCAAGGTAGAAAAACACACAATTTTTTATGTTGGAAATAGGAAGTAAAGTTATTGAACAAAATCTATAAAGATACATGTACATATAAGATTTAACTTTGACCAACATATCACAGCTGCAATTTTACAACCATAATGCGACAGGTGATTAATAAAAATTAAGAGTCACCATACCTTATATAACCTATGATATTGTTCTGCTTGCTTCCTACTTTTCCGAACCAAAACTCGAAAATCGGGACCCATTCCACTGCCGAACAGTATGAAAATATAAGGATACAAGGGATGTATAATGAAAATATAAGGATACAAAGGATGTATAAATGTAAAAAATAAAAAAGTCATATTAGCAGCAAAGAACTGGATTAAAAGTTTAAACACAAATAGAACATAAAAGTTATATTAGCAACCTGTGAACCCGAATTTCTATACTAACCCAACCAAAATGAACTAAAGAAATTAGCTTTCTATATGCTTGTAGACATGATAAGCAAACCTGTAAACAACTCCAATATTTGGTGTCAGACACTGTATTTTCTGAACCTGAAATCAGATAACAAACAATCACATTCGGTAGCGATTAATAGCCACTCATCAGATCAGAATTAGAAGTACACCGGCTTTTAATAAAGTCAAGCATTAATAGTCACATTGACACCATGGGTGAGACAATATATACAAAGTAACTCTTTCATATAATCATATTACTGCAAAAATGAGGAAGTTTAACAAACCAAAAGTATATATAAAAAAAACAGATGGAAAGGCGAGGTATAATAAATAAAATACTCACAGAGGCTTCATCAACTAAGATTGAAGGCAATTTCTTCTCTGTCGCAATTACAACTCCATTTGCAGCTGTGAATTTAAAACCCAACATCAAATTAAACCCAATGTATTTATTAATAAGCATAAAGAATTTAACTCATTACCCACTATTTCACTAGTTCTCAAACCCTAAACCGGTCGCTTATAAACAGAAAAGAGGAAAAAAAGAACCTTTGATTCCAAGAGATGTTTGACCGGAGCCGACTGCCGTCAAGGCGTGCTCGATCTGAACTAGCTTCCCCGAAGGACTATTCGGAAACACACACAAAAAGAGAGGTGGGATTATTCAAAATTTAATTTTGAATTCAGTTCATTAACGAAGTTATCGAAAGGACGAAGGGATTACCTGAAAGTTGTGAGGGAAAAGGAATATTGACTATCACCCATGGTTATGAAATATTCAAAATCCTGAACAAACGGAAAAGAAGAAGAGAAATTAAAAGAAAAGGCAGTGGATGTGAAGATTGTAACGAGAGAAAAGGACAAGTTATTTACTCTGAATGGGAAGAAGGCAAGGCAAAAGACGGTTTTCTATAGGGTAAAACACATAGTCAGCGATTATGGAGCGTTTATTTTAAAATTAACAAATCAATTCAATGTAGTTAAAATTTTAACAAAAAATAATATCACAGTTTATAAAATTAATCTTAAAATCTTTAAAAATATATTATTTTATTTTATCATTAATATCATATTATAGGTTTATAGTTACATTTCTTTTGTTTCTATTTTATATGAATATGTTTAATCTTCAAATCTATGTATTATAATATTTATAATATATGATAGATTGATAGATGATGCGAGAATGACCAACAATCAATTGCTGTAATGGGACATAACACTATATTCTTTAAACGAAATTAAGAGTTTGAATTTTGGTGATTGTGAATTAAGCAAAATGAGTTAAAACAGCTGTCTACGTAATATGCCTATGCAAAACTCAATCTAAATTAACCTATCAATAGATTAAATATTTGTAGTTAATTCAAAAAAAATTACTAGATGACAAATTGCATTCCAATTGTGTGTAAATGTATACATAAAATATTCAAGAAAAATAAAAATATATTTTTATTTAGAAATATATTTAATAAATACAAGTAGACTTATATTTATAATAGATAATAGAAGAATATTTTATGAATGTGTTCAAAATATTAATATTTTTTATTTTTAGTATTTTGATGTTTATTTTTTATAAATATTTTAATTGTATTTTTATATTTTTCATTTTAAACTTTAGTATTTTTAAATTATTTTAAACAAATCTATAATATTTTTTATAAAAAATCGATTAAGTATTCAAACTTTATAAAAAATAATTAAATATTACTATTACGCCTTCATCCAATGTAAACGGGTTATATCAACAATATAAATTATCATATTAATATTATGAACTGCACGTAAACATCGTTACAATAAACATTATTTTTTATTAATTAAAAAATCATATTATATTTTTTATTTTAAGAATTACATTAGATGCAAAGCCATATTTTTACCCAAAAATTTGAAAAATTAAAATATTATTAAATATACAATTTATTCATAAGGGAGAGAGTAATTATTATAAATATATAACCCGCAAAAATACTCACGTATAAATACCTAGCATATCATAGCAGAGGTTTGCAGGCAAACCGTCGGTTTCTCTCCAAAAACATAGCAACGTGTTCGTTTTCAAAACTTCAATTTGAACACTGAAACAACGCCATCTTTCCGGCGCCCTTATCTACTCTACCAAACTCCCATATATTTTGTCCGTTTTAGCTAACTTCCTTTCTTACTATAATCAAAATCCATTTTTTCTTAGTGTTATTATCGATTAAAATCGATGGCGTGAACGCGGCGTGGGTTTTGATCATTCGTTTTTTAGATTGTGCAAATCTTCGATTTCCAGGTTTTTCTCTTATTATTCTTATTTTGTTTTGTTTTTTCCCGTCATAAATTCTCCTATTTTTGTTGATCGGTGTTCTCTGGAAAACAGTACTTTGAATTTGATAGCTTTGTTGATATAGGTATTTTTATGGCGCGTGTAGTATTTTTCCTGTTTAGTTTACTTAAATAGTTAGTCTGTAGATTGTTTATGTGATGTTGCTTACACTAAACATTATTATATGTATGTTTTGATTGTTGAAGTAATTTTGACTTTGCTTGTTTGGTAATGAAAAAATTACTGGGAGATCGAAGGCTGCTGTATTGTTTCTTTACCGTGATGTTAGATTAGCGTGTTGGTTTTTGGTGACTAGTAGTACTTATTTAACATGATTCTAGTTATTCATCCTTTTGAGTGTTGGCTTGTAATAATCAGAATCATCAGATACAAGATACATTCAACTGTAAATCGGATAATCATAGCTTTCTGGCGATTGGATCAAAGCATATAGAAATTTCTTTCTAGCTTTGGGAAAGAAGAGGAGGGGAGAAATTAAGGGGAAGGGGTATGTTGTTGGTTGATGATGTTTTTGTACCTTAAAAGAACTTGGATACTATATAGGTTCAGCTTAATCAAAGCAATGATTCTGTTTTTAATTGGGTTACTTTAACCAGTTAACGTTAGACATATTCACTTTCATTTGGTTGCTGTTATTGTCGTTACTATTGTTGAATGACAGCGCTAGCGTGTTCTTGTGAGCAAAATGGGTGATGCCAAGAAGAATGGTTTTCCTGGAAGTTGTCCCGAGTTTGGTGCAATCTTCATTTCAGACAATGCAACGAAAAAGGAATGTTTAAGAAGGAAAGTTTTTGCTCTCCCATCTTCGCATTCACACTTTGTGAAACAGGTGAAAGCTGGGATGATTCTGTTCCTGTTTGAATTTGAGAGGAGAGAACTGCATGGTGTGTTTCAAGTATGCTCTGGCGGTGCAATGAATATTCTGCCTCGTGTACTTAGTTCGTCAGGGAAGCAATTCCCTGCACAGGTATGGGTACATTTCAGTTGTGTATTTTATGTTTTTTTCTCTCTCAAAAAAGGATGGGGAAGTTTGCTTTCTTGGAGATTTTAATCCTTACAAATATTCGTCCAGGTTAAATTCACCCTCATGTGGTACTGCACTGCCATCCACTTTCTGAAAATGAATTTCGTGATGCTATCAGAGAAAACTATTTTTCCAAAACTAAGTTTAACTTTGGACTCTCTGAAGATCAGGTTTGCCCTTTTGCTATCAAAATTCAGTTTGATAATTGAAATTCCACCTTTCAAAAATGTTATAAACTTTGTCTCTTTATTTAAAATGTGCAGGTTCGAAGGCTTCTGTCATTGTTCAGTTTGAAGAGGATGAAAGATCAGGCACCTTCACGGCAGTTGACTGAAAGTAAAGTTGCAAGGCAAAGTGGGTACTCTACAAATAAAATTAGAAGACTAGTTAATAAGTCTCCAAGGAGAAACCAAGCCCCAAGTGAATATGGTGTAGACAACCCTCACAGACCAGATATTTCCACTACTCCCCATGGGAACTCTTTCTATGATGATGACAGACCTACTGATGATGGCAGATTTGAAACGGACACATCTTTTGGACATGAGCGTAAAGCAAGTGCCTTCCTAAATGAGTCGTTCTGGGATCTTGTTGGTAAGGATGGAGGGGTCATAGCTTCAGGTGAATATGCCACAAATGACTGGGTGGACACTGAATGGAAAACTGGTATTGAGTTTCAAGAAGCAGTTTCAGTTGGTTTTCTTCAGGTAATGTCAGAAGCATTTCCAATGATGTTAGGTTCGCACAGAGTGATAGAACTGAAACAAAATGTTACAAGGATGATGCTTTTTCACCATCCATGTCAACAGAGTATCCTAGTTCTTTTCAATCTAAAGTTAATCCACTAGTGTATTCTAGCAAACATGTTCTAGAAACAGATTCATTTGTCAATGATCTAACAAGGCCATCTTCAACGTACTTTCCCTCAATGGAGATGCAAAACACCAATGTTAGTTATCCATTGAATTTTGAAGATTCATTTGTTGCAAATAGTCTTCCTTATGATTCTGATGTTCCTACTACGAATTATAGGGGCTGCTCATCTTTGGGGTTCAATCAGGGCCATGCTTCATTGCAAGATGCTATTCATGATAATTTTGTTGGTCACATCATTGGTACTACCAAAATCAATCATTTCCTTCATTGTTAGAGACTAGAAGAACACCCATAACCTCTGATGTCTACTCTGGTTCTAAGGACTTCGTTACATTGCCCTATTCTAATTCATATGAACACTCCAGCAGGACTATCCTGCAAAGGCATGGCTATATAGATGACCTAGAAGCTGAATACTCTCAATTCAAATGCTCTGGAGATCTTTCCCTTCCTAAGCCCTCTTTAGCACCTGTCCCTTCTGAAATTAGAAACAATGGCAGGATCGGTGAGCATTCATCATCTTATAGAACCAGTCCTAGCAAGTTCCATTCTCTTACCTTTTCTTACAGGTATCCCACGATATTGCAAGATAGACATGATTTTCAAGTGCAAGAGCATGACAGGTATCCTATGTTATTACAGGACAGACATGATTTTCAAGCTCAAGAGCGTGACAGGTATCCGATGTTATTACAAGACAGACATGATTTTCAAGTACATGAGAGTGGAAATGATGCACAATTTGGTGATGATGGTTTTATGTTTAAAGAGTGCCAGCCCCATGGTGAATCGTTTCATAATGATAACAGAACAATTGAGGATGAAAGGTTTGCTATATACAATAAGGCGGAATATGAGAACAAAGTGGTCCAGCAGCAGCTGCATGTTCATGAACCGATAAATGTGGACTACCATGAAGTTACTTCGGTGAGTCCTGCTCCGTATCAGAATTCCGATTTCCGGAAAAAAGGAGTAGTGTGTTTTCTCGCTTGGCTTTGCCTCGTAAGATACATAAAAAGAAAGAACACCTCTCCTAGCACTGCTGACATCAATAGGCATACTTCAATTAATAAAGTCGTGGATATGCTGCACCGAAACCATAACCATGGGGTGAATTCAATTGGCAAATCGATAGTCAAGCACAGTGTTGCTGCTGCCAACCTTAGGGATAAAAAGCAGGCCACTAGGAAAGATGATCCTGCTATGATCTCAGAGGAGATGAATCTGAAGTCTACCTCATTTAGCAAGGAGAATAGCAGCCAAAAGTTTGGGGAGGTGACTTTTGTCGATTTCAAACGCCGTAGTACGGTGAGAAAGAACCTCGAAGATGATAAGACTGGAAATCATTGTGAAACTCAGAATGAAAAGAGTGCAGCAGCTGCACAACGTAAAGAGAGAAAATTGATTCGGCCAGACTTCTGTGAGAGTGAGTCATCTGAGAGGGGCATATCAGGTTATGGTCCTCAACTTGCAATATTTCCTTCAACAGAATACTCTGTAAGCAAAAATACTGAAAATATTAGGACTGCTGATAAAGGTAACTACTGTGACAATGGAAGTGACACAAACTCGGAAAAAATTAGTGCAGAGAACTTTATTGATTCAAGAAGTGCTGATGGTGGAAAGGAATCATCAGAACATAACTGCATCTCAAGTATGACTTCAATTTCTTGTAGGAACAGGCATGTTGAAGTTGAACAAGATATGACCACTAGAGATACAAGGATGGAGATTGTCTTAAGATCAAATTGATGTGAGCCATTCCACTCATGGGTCATGTCGAAAAATCTGTGAAGACAATGATAATGATGTGAGTCATTCTATTCATGTGCCATCTCAAGATAAGGATGATGATGGAGTCGCAAAGAGCGAGTTTGTTTACGGTATTAAATAGATGCATGACTTGACTCCTGAATTGTCTCAAGATCGAAATGATGTGAGTAGACATGAGTCATCTACAAAAATCCGTGAAGACAATTATGGTGATGGAGCTGCAAAGAGAGTTCATTTACAGTATTGAACAGACAAAAGACGTGACTCCTGTTGGTGGCGAGATTTCCATCAGTGCTTTGAACTAAGGCGATCCGAACACCAAATGAGAAAGGCCCTCTTGGAGGTCTTGTATTAGTGTACATATTTTTGCAGAAATGTGACTCTCCTGAAATCAAGCAAAGCCATCTTTCGGATATTTGGTAAGAGAGAATTTGCTAGTTTTGGAAGGCCCTCAACTGCTTCATATACATGAAATGTTAAATGTGGAAGTATTTTCTACAACCAGTTAAGATGAAAGCTGGAGGATCGGTTGCAAGCGTCTCTGTCCGGAGCATTTGTAACGCAATCATCAGGTGGTGAAAGATCGTCTCATGCAAATGAAACTCGTAAGTCATACCATGAATGTGCTTCCACCTATGGGGAACCATGGCAACAAACAAAATTTACAGTTCATTCAATTTCGCTACTCTTCTAATCTTAGGATTTTGCGTAAATGCGCTAACAAAGACGTGCTTTTTTGTTTTGTTTAGGACAATGCTGGCTGTGGCTTAGGAAAGTTTTCTCCTTTTTTTTCTTCATAGGAACATGTTGACTCCATGTAATTGACTGCTAGTACTCTTTGTTTACTTACATTACCATTACCAGTGCATAGGATATATGTTGTTTGAACTATCATTTTACTTTAAATATTTGTATCTGACACTCGTTTAATGCATAGACATGGAGATATGGTTTTCGAAGATTTTCCAAATACACGAAAAATACTTATTTTATGCGCTAAAGGTGGAAAAACTATTTCATGAGAAGTTTTAATGTTATTATGTGTCCTATTTAAGGTTTACGGTTATAAATTCTGGAGTTTATATTTAAATATAATTTCAAAATTAATTTTTTATATACAAAAAGAGTAATTGTGTGAATATCCGGTCGTTTCTAATACGATCGAAGTTGCAAATTAAGGAAAAATCAATTTCAAACCTAAAAATGATTTTATATAACTAAATAAAAAAAGGAATTCGTTTCAAATCAAGTAATCGTGATTTATGTATTTATAAATCATACACTGTTCAAATACATATGGTTTAAAATCGATTTTCAATCAGTCCTTTTTTATTATTCAACTCTATATTTACATTATCCTAAATCTATAGCTAATAATAATTTTAATGTTAAAATTAAAACAATTAAAATCCACAATCTAAATTATATTAGTATATACATGTGTCAGTTTTGTTTTGTGTACGAATGTTTGCAAAAGTCAAACCAATAACAACAAATGAGATGTTGTTCGTGTTTTTGTGTTCGTCGATTAGTACATATCACTTTTACAGTCGTTGCCCATTGGCGGTGTTTCCCCCCAAATTCCCCAACCCTAAACCAATTAAGTTTTAATTGGGGATGGCGATGCTGCAAGACCTTGTTCAATCGGTGGAGATGTGGTTGAAGCTGAGAAGGAAACCGCAACCCTGCGTTGACCCGGATCTCGACCCGGTTTTATTAGTCCCGGGTATTGCCGGCTCCATTTTGCAAGCTGTTGATCATCAGAATGGGATTGAAGAGAGGGTTTGGGTTCGCATTCTGGAAGCCGATTATAAGTTCCGTACCAAGCTCTGGTCTCGCTTCGATCCTGCTACCGGTAATTGTTTCCTTTTTTATATGTGAATTTAGTGGAACTGTTTAATTTTGGGTGGGGAGTTTTTTTTTTTTTTTTTTTTTTGAGTATTTGAGAAACTTTATATTTATAAACTATTAAAATCAACTAAGTCGTTTTAATCTATGAGCTAATATTTGGTAAATTTTGATGAAAGAATTATCTCAGATGAATTAGGTGTAAAAAGTTTTTGAGAGCATACTTTTTTATACGATTATAAATTTTGCCGTTTTTGTGTTTGGGATTATGTGGATCACTGGATTGTGGAGTAATTATGATGTTATTGGTTCATTGATTGTGAAACAGGTAGAACCGTGTCCTTAGATCCAGACACAAGTATTAAAGTTCCAGAAGAAAGATATGGATTGTACGCCATTGATGTATTGGATCCTGACATGGTATATATATTTCTTACTATCATTACCTTATTGATTGATAAAAGAAGTCGTTTGGATATGACCTAAACTATTAACTGGTTTCGTGGACTCTGTTTTCATGTAGATAATCGGACGTGACTGCGTTTACTATTTCCATGATATGATTATTAAAATGACAAAGTGGGGCTTTCAAGAAGGGAAAACTCTTTTGGTTTCGGTTATGATTTTCGCCAAAGTAACAGGTTTATTGATTAGTTTCTAATTATTCCTCTTTGTAACCAAGGATAGTGGCCCTTTTTCCTTGTAGTTTATGTATTTGTTTCTAGAGGTTCATTCTAGTTTCCCTTAGGTTGCAAGACACGTTGGATCGCCTGGCATCCAAACTAGAGATGGTGTATAAAGCATCAGGAGGGAAAATGATAAATATCATAAGTCATTCTATGGGAGGACTTCTGGTAAAATGTTTCATGGGCCTTCACAGTGATGTAAGGAATCCACTCCCAACTTTTTCTGCATTTACCTTACCATTCTCTATAAGTATTGTATCTCTTTGTGACGCAATGCTTCTTCCATTGTGCAGGTTTTCGAGAGATATGTAAAGAATTGGATTGCAATTGCTGCACCATTCCGGGGTAAATGGTCTTTATAACTTGAGCATACAAGACAATAGTTTTCGGATCATTAATTGCCCAAGAGGAAACTGCAAATAATACAACAATTTCTGAATTAAACAAATTCTGTTTGAAATATAACATAATGCATATTAGGTGATTTTCTTTGAACACTACGATTTTTAATTTTTCCTGAGCATTTCTTCAGCTTCTTGAAACCTGAAAACTGAAAGTTGTTAATTCATTGGATTTATAGGAGAAATTACTGCACAGACTACAGAGTAATGGATCCTAGGATGAGATTTTTTTTCTTTTTCTTTTCTTTTAGTGAAAATTATAAAATATAATTTGGTATAACTACCTGCTGGTATTTCCAAATGAGAAATATCTTCGTTATGTTTCATTCAAAGCTTTCTTACGATACACATGAACAGTCTAGGACAATGCAGATTTATTAAATAATGGAGTACAGTTCCCTTGATTTTCTTTTTACTTGTATATGTTCCATTGGTGATTCCTTATAAGCAAAAGTACAGGCTGTAATCAAATTAAATATTTTTATATTGTTGTAATTTATTCTTGGGTTACAAGTTAGATATTCACTTTATTTATTTTCATTATCTACACCTAGTATTATTCTTTTATATATATTATGTTTCCTTGGCAAATAAAACAAGTAATTTTTCTCATTATTTTTTGCTGCTAACACAAAATTTGAAGTATATAAGTTTCTGAAATTAATTGTATGTTGGAATTGTCAATTGAATCACTTCAAAATAACTTCATATGCTCAGGAGCTTGTTTTATTCTGATTCAAATTGCTTATTGGGTTGTATTGAAATGTTTCCAATAGGTGCACCTGGATATATTGCTTCCACTTTTCTAAATGGAGTATCATTTGTTGAAGGGTGGGAACAGAACTTTTTCATTTCAAAGTGGAGCATGCACCAATTAGTACGCAATTTTTATTTATTTATTTCTTTTACACATTTCTACTTGGATGAACATGAGTGCATGGATTGTCCTTTGATAAGTCCATTATTTATGAACGTTTCTGAAAAATCTCTTTCCCAAATTTTCTTTTGGAGCCCGTTAATATGTCTCACTTTCACCTAATTCTGCAATCCTAATTCCTTGCTTTCTATTTTATCTGCTTATTTTTGTTTAGAATGACTGAAATCCGCTGCTAGCAGTTACGTAGGGGTGTATGACTCAGCTTCCGGGATTTGAATTAAAGAGTGGTTACTTTTAGGCCAAAATTTTACATTAAACAAGCCTAAAGAATAATGGCGTTGATTCTTTTCCAGTTCATTATACATGAGTAACCTGTAAGGCTGTAATAAAGTTTAGGGTAAACTATGCAAATAGTCCCTTTTGTTTAGGGTTTGCCCCACTTTGGTCACCAATTTAAAAATTAAGTGTAAACAGTCCCTCACATTATCGGTCCGTTCGGTTTAAGTCTTTTTGCTATTAATTCTCGTTAACCCCCTTTTGTTTAAGTTCCTAACATGGTTGAGGTCTAAAATTGAATGGGAGTTAATGGCTGAGGGACTAAAATCGAACAAATCGATAATATTAGGGACTAACTCTAACGGATCGATAACATTAGGCCCATTTCCCGTTAATTTTTAAATTGGTGACCAAATTCGATCAGACCGAAAACATAGGGGACTATTTGCTTAGTTTACCCTAAAGTTTAATATGTAACAAGTGTTGGAAATTGGTTGGTGCCAACTCATCCTACTACACACTGCATTATCAGATGGAAGATTATGTTGCGTTGTGGTTTACGCAGTTAGTAGATGCGACATACAATCTCGATGAAGTGTTTACTTGAATTTTGTTTTGCCTCTCTTTTTTTCATTGCATCTTTGAAGTGGTTAAGATTATTTATTTCTGTCCTGCATTATTCAGTTGATTGAGTGCCCATCGATATATGAGTTAATGGCTTGTCCAAATTTCCATTGGCAACATATGCCGCTTCTTGAGATCTGGAAGGAGAAAGAAGGGTGTGATGGAACTCCTCGGACTATTCTAGAGTCTTATCGCCCTGGAGAAAGCATTGATATCTTTAAGGAAGCTCTTTCAGGCAACTCGGTAAGCTATGAACTTTGCTTATGCAAAAGTAGTTAATCTTAGGTTGAGTCCATTGCCAGAAATAAACAGAAAAGAATAAACTTGGTGTTTAGTACATTAAGATAAAATAGGGTGTTCCTTTATTTAGTGGTTTTAAGCAATATAATGAGTAGCTAAGTAAATGGCTTAAGACATTTGCTATGGTTCCTCTGGAGTTAAATTGCTTGTATTTTACATTCAGTTCGATTATGGTGGAGAGAATCTTCCACTTCCATTCAATTTGGAGATCTTGAAATGGGCTAAAGAGACACACAAGGTGTTGGCTCAAGCTAAGCTTCCTCCTGGAGTTAAATTCTACAATATATATGGTATCAATCTTGAGACACCACATACCGTCAGGTAATACCCCTATTTGGCTTTTTTTTTTGTGTTCCATTATTCATCCTATGGTTAATCTTTTCACAAATTTGCAGCTATGGAAGTGAAGAGGCACCTATCACAGATCTACAGGATCTTCGATTTTTTCAGGTAATTTGTCGTTGAGGGTGCTCTCATTTTCATGCTGTAGTTCTAGGGCCTACTTGTGATACTTCACAATGTTCGGTATGTTTCATTTCTATTCATGGATTCTGCTACAAATGCTGAGTTTCTTCTGCCTATCAGCCCACATATGTACGTGTTGATGGTGACGGAACAGTCCGTCGGAATCGGCTAAGGTTAGCTAACTCTCCCAGTTACAATTTGCCATGGTTTTATCATTTACATTGTACTTACTATAACTCATGTTTTATCCTCTCTTATGGAATTATTGTGATTTATCTGTAAAGTAATATAGTCCTGCAATACCTCGACTTATTTTATTTCTGGTTATTCTTAGGCAGATGGGCTCAATGCTGAAGCAAGGGTAGGAGTCCCCGGTGAGCACCGAGAAATTCTTTGTGAACCTCATCTATTTCGAATTCTCAAGCACTGGTTGAAGGCAGGCAATCCCGACCCATTCTACAACCCAGTAAACGATTACGTGATATTACCGACAGCGTTTGAAGGGGAAAGCCTCCACGAGAAGGGCTTGGAAGTGGCATCAGTCAAAGAGGAATGGGAAATCATTTCCGAAGATCAAGACAATCTTGACAATACAGCTAGTAAAGACCCACTTGTTAGCTCCATATCTGTTTCTAGAGGAGCAAAGAAGCAATCCACAAAATCTAAAGTTCATGCAACCGTCACAGTTCATCCGCAAGATGAGGATAAGCAACACGTCAAGCTAAATGCCATAAGTGTATCAGTTGATGCTTAGAGTTGAATTGTGCAACTTGAAGACTAAGAAAAACCCTCCTGTGTAAAGTCTGCGTACATAAAAGCTCATGACTTTGAACTTGTATGTTTATTCAACAGTATTAAGTGTATAAATTATAAATGCGTTTGTACATAGTAATAACATAATAAAACCGCCATTGCATGTTCAAATCATTTCAAATTACTTGCTCGGGTTATTTCGAGTTTTAATCCGATTACGATAAATCAGGTCGGAGCTAAGGCGTTTGAGAAAAGTTCTGCATTGCCATAGATAAAATAAGAAGAACGACAAATCATCAATAACAAAACTGATAAAAAGTTGATCCAAACAGCTAAATTGATAACCAAAATTCTAAATCAAACAAAGAACAAACTATAAATCCATCTCCTGCAAATCAATCCCCACCAGCCTTCTGGTAAACATAAGTAAGCCCACACTTACCGCAATAATGCCTATCAAAATGGTTAGCCATGAAGGTTCCCGCCCCACACTCGGCATTAGGGCACTCTTTCCTCAGCCTCTGAACCTTCCCAGACTCGTCCACCTTGTAGAACTGGAGCACGGCGAGCTTGACCTTCTTCTTCTTGTGCTTGATCTTCTTGGCTTGGTGTAAGTCTTCTTCCTCCTCTTCTTGCGCCGCCTCTTAGACGGAGGACGAGGTGAAGCGTGGATTCCTTCTGGATGTTGTAATCGGCTAACGTCCGGCCATCCTCGAGCTGCTTGCCGGAGAAGATGAGGCGTTGTTGGTCCGGTGGGATGCCTTCCTTGTCTTGGATCTTGGCTTTGACATTGTCGATGGTGTCGGAGGACTAGACCTCTAGGGTTATGGTCTTCCCCGTTAGGGTTTTGACGAAGATCTGCATCTTGACGCGGCTGCTGTTTCGAAATGGGAGAACTTTTTTCTGTGTTGAGGTTTCATATATGAGACGGTGGATTTAGGGTTTGGGTGAAGAACGAAAATTACGTAATTGCCTATGCCTTTTCTAAAATTAATTATTATATTAATAATTAAATATTATAATGGTGAAATAAAATACGAGTTATAGAAGAATTAATTCGATTGATTTCACCAACATCAAAAAAAAAAAGTTGCAGATTTAAGCACACTTAAATAGAATTATGTTAAAGGTAAAATTTTAAGAGTTTAAGTATCATCTTTTGTATATTCGAAACAAATATGAAAGATGATAATGAAGATTGAAGGACCAAATCTCTTTATTTTTACTCCACTTTTAAGAAAATTACGTTAAACCTCAAAACATTTAATATTATATAAATATTTTTTAAATTATTTAAGGTAAATATTTATTAATTTTTTTAATTAATTGACAACGTTATATGTATTCTGCAAACGTAATTATTTAAACTTAAGACTTTTAGAAAATACCAACATTACCTTTTACTACATAGATAATGGAATAATTTTTTTACAAGCATACACTAAAGCTGTAGGTTTATTGTTTTCTGAATTAATTATTAGTAAGTAATCTATTGATTGATTTAATCAGATATGTTTTTATAAAATTTATTAAGAGAACAACTATCTAAATCTAATTTATTCATTCGTAATCGTCAAGATTTGATAGATTCATCTTCTTAATTATTTCCACTATCCAATTAATATATTTGAATCGAACAATTTAATTGTTCGTAGTACGATAACATATGTACCAATTTGACAAAAAGAAAATTTAAGTATTAATTAAAAAACTAATTTAATATATTTTAGATATTATCTTATAAACATTTAAACTATTCAAAAATAATTATAAGAATTATCATCCCCATAAATACTTTCATTGTTATAAAATGAAATAATTATTTATTTATATATTTTTTTAAATAATCTAAGATAATTATAAGATAATATCTGTTTATATTTTTAATAAATTAACAAATTCTTAAATTTTATAAGAATCCCAATGTGATTGGGACCCCTTCACCCATCAGCTTTCTCAGAGTTTTCCACAAAGAAAATCATCAAAGTTATCAATTGCATCTCACAAGAATTCACAATTCTTGTCTTTGGACTGTGCTCAACTCGTCCTTACCTAAAAAGTTGGTATTCATTTGCAATCTTAATATGCAATAAAACACTAAAATAATTATCTTAGTGATTATCAGCTTTTGGTCAAATAATTTAAATTCAATTAGGGGAACTATATCATGGTTTTAAAATTGGTGCCTTTTCTTTTGCAAAATATTAGTCATTGTTAATTAAGATTCATTTAATATAATTATTAAATTAAGAGAATTATTCTTATGATAAATCTATTTATCATTTAATCTAAATTAATTATTAAATAATTTATTTATTAGAATGAGTGATTACAAATTAATATATATTTTTAATTAATTGACAACGAATATGAATATACCTTGCAACACAACTATTGAAATTCAGGACCAAGGATGAGACTCTTTTATTATTAAAATCTTTAATAAATTTATTAATAAATAAATTAAATACTTATAATAATAAATAATAATAAACTTATTTAATGGAAAATTTATTTTAAAATATTTGTACTTTTTGTAATGATCATAAAATCTTTAAAATTCCCTCCAAACATGATCCTAACTTTGAACGTAACCGAAGTTGCTTATCAGCAATAAAATCAATTATTATTACGCAAAAACATTTCAAAGTTTCAATTTTGCTGTTGTTAACTCTGCTTTTATTTTTCCGATTTCTATATATAAGAAATTTCAACAGAAGAGTGATTCCGAAGGGAAAGCTTCAAATCCCAGATCTCTACTTGTTTTCTCTTTGAAACCCAGATTTCCATTTTAAAAAATTTATAAGAAAATGGCACCGAAATCATTGATCTATGCGTTTGTATCTCGTGGAGATGTTGTATTAGCTGAGTATACTGAATACAGTGGGAATTTCAATTCCATAGCTCTACAGTGCCTCCAAAAGCTTCCTTCTTCCAACAACAAGTTCACTTACAACTGCGATGGCCACACCTTCAATTATCTTGTTCATAATGGCTACAGTTAAGGTTTTTTAAAAGATTTTTATTTTTATTTTCAAGAATTAAAATTGTTGGGTCTTGTCTGTAATGAATGAAAAGCAAAAATGAGAGAGAAAAAAATTTTGGGGCTTTTATTTTTTTTCATTTCCCTTTTAAAGTATAATCTGGTCGTTGGAAAAACATGGGATTTAGGATCTAGAGGGAAAGTTTGGGTTTTGGTTTCTGCCATTGGATTGTGTAGGAGAACATTACTTGTTAGAAATGGGGCGAAAATAGAAACTTTGTGTTTTATGCTGCTGTTTTTCTTGTTAATAAAGTTTATCGCTGGTTATTATGCATTATAGAGTATTGGAAACTACACAAATTGTTTATGTTCTGAGTTCCTTCTGAATATATCTTATCTTCATATTGGTATATACTAATTTCTGGTGAAAAAAAAGGGATATCGATATGGTTTATCTTTTCTGTATTCCGCATTCCAAGTTAATGGTGAAACGAGAGTAGGGAGAGGGGATGTGGGAGAAAATATATTCTTAGTAGTCTATTCAGGAGCCAGTGGGAATTTTATTGTTTATGCATATTGCTTCAATGAAGTCTAATTGATTCCTTGCTTCTTCTATGTTATCACTTGCACTCTCGTTGTCGGCTCCTTTTTTCCTATTGTGTTTGTAGATTGGCTGACTTTTCGATGTTGCAGTTTATTGCGTTGTTGCAGACGAGTCGGCCGGAAGACAAATACCTGTGGCCTTTTTGGAGCGTATCAAGGATGACTTTGTGTCAAAATATGATAATGGAAAGGCTGTTACAGCTCCTGCCAACAGCCTGAATAAGGAATTCGGGTATCGACATCTTGACCAAACTCCTGAAAACACTTAACAGGGGGGTATTTTATTATTTGTAGGAAATATAACATGCTACTAATTACAGGCCGAAACTGAAAGAACATATGCAATACTGTATCGAGCATCCTGAAGAACTTAGCAAGGTTGCTAAGGTTAAAGCTCAGGTTTCTGAAGTCAAAGGTGTTATGATGGAGAACATTGAAAAGGTAGATTTGCTTTGTTAGCTACTTTTTACCTGTCATTTACTCTTAGGCTGATTTTTACTAATTTAGTCATAGTGACACATGATTTCGATAATGTTTAGCGGTCTTTGTGGACTTTTTCCGGGGTTGAATTTATTGAATTGTTCTAGTAGTTCAAATGGTTTGCTAGTTTTTCGAAATGCCTATACGTGTCCTGTGCCTCCATGGAACTATCTGGTTTAGCTTCTTAAATGTCACATTTTCCAGTATGTTCTGGTTGATGTTGCCTTCCTGCAATTATTTCGTGCATAGTGCGATTAACCAACGATAAACTATGATAAGATTTTGGTACCAACCATATCTCAGAAACATGCTTTTGGTAGTTGTTACTGAATTCTCTTCCTACAGGTGTTAGATAGAGGAGAAAAGATAGAGCTGCTAGTGGATAAGACCGAGAACCTTCATCATCAGGTAAGTGACTCTTGCCGTCACCTCTTTCACTATCTTTCATGCATCGCTCCGGGTAACCATGAAAATCTAAACATGTATTAACTTAAACGGCGGTTTCTTTTTCCCCCAATTTATTTCATGTGAGCCTTAGATATTAGATCATACAAGGGAGACATAATTTTAAGATGTCTTCACGTTAGCTACGCAATTCGTTCTTCACGACTTTCCGAAATGATTTCTTTGCAGGCTCAAGACTTTCGAAGTACCGGGACAAAAATCCGAAGAAAAATGTGGCTGCAAAACATGAAGATCAAGCTGATTGTTCTAGGAATACTGATTGCCTTGATCCTCATCATTGTCCTGTCTATTTGCCATGGTTTCAACTGTGGGAAAAAATGAATGCTACTCTTGAAAGCCGTGCTATCTTCTACCTCAGCTTTTGTGAGAATATTGTGAGGAAAATATCAAAATACATAGACTTTATTTATGCAAACATACCCTGTAATTTTTTTATATATATTTTGTTTACATGAATGTGCTTTTCGGAACCACGGAGCTTCATTCAGTTGGCAAATTTCTCTGTTTTGTACTGGTTTTGATGTTCTTCTATCTTCAGCTCAATATTGTTTGTCATTTTTTGCCTGTTCAAAGTTACAAAACATGCGCAAATATGCTTCTTGTTAACACCACCTCATTTCTCTTCGAAACCGTCAGCTCGACATTGCGAACCCGAACTCCGATTCTCCCACGACTCTTCCCCGTCAACCTCTTTTCACATTTCTCATTAACACCGCCTACATACATCAAGGAACCCTGGTAACCATCCTGGGATGCCACCACCTAGAAACCTACATTTCTTCTACGTAGAGAAGTTCTTCTACATGCACATGAACATAAGTGATAATGTAATACATGTCATATATATATAAGTGATGACAATAACACTTACCATATGAACATAAGTGATTATGTGGTACATGTCACATGTATATAAGTGATGATGTTATATATGTCACAACATCATCTAAACACATTGGACTTATCAATTGTCACGTCAGTGATAAGCATTGATTATTAATCAATTAACAGTTTTCATCTAATTAGATATATTTTATTAAAAAAAGTTAAATGATAAAATACTTAAAAGAAATATGGATCAAAGTAACTATATTATTAAAGTTAAAAGTGTAGGGTTAATCTTGATATCTTGTAATTTAATTATTATACAACATAGGAGTTCAAACCAATTGAGAATGTGGTTTCCCCATCCTGTATTCCATAATTATAAAACGTGGAAAAGAGTGTGTATAAAACACTTTCACAAGTCATACAACTTGCAAGACAAGTCAAATCATACAGCATCCAACTGCTTACAAGTTGGGACATATCTCATGTAAACCTGCAATCTGTATTTGGTCGAGTTTAGAGATGACTATTCAACTCAGTTGGTAGAGCACAAGGTTCTTAATCTTTAGGTTCGTGGGATCGAGTCTCACGGAGGGCATTTTATAATTCGGAGGTCTTCTACGGAAGCTGCTCTCAATTTGGTATTGGGGGTAAGTTACTATCTTACCTCTCTCTTACCCCATTACATATAAGAACAAGGGATAACCATTTTTTTTATATATTTTTTTTTGTATTTGGTCGAGTTTGATGAATGATGATGAAACCTCATACCTTAAGACAAATCTCTATCAAAATAAAAGTCTTTAACATGTATGCTCCACTCCTTTATTATTATTATTATTTAAATTCCAAATCCCATCAAAGCAATCTATGAATCATCAAAATTCTCCTTTCACCATCAAGGGACCCACCTCACAAATAAAAACCAAAAAAAAAAACGTGTCATTGGAAATCAACATAAAACCAAAAGAGGCCAAATCAATGCTCGAGTAGGCTGCTGCCATTTTCAACACAAATGCAAAACCTTTGGGGGTAAAGGAATCATGGTCCCACGCCATATTTAAAGACTAAATTTATGTCCCTAATGATATCAAATATACATGTTAACATAAAAATATAATCTAACGATATATAAAAATATACATGTTAATCTATCAAATATAGATTTGTAATTGTACAGATTCCATGTTAATTATGTGATGACTGGATCTCAATTTGATTAAACATCGTTATATAATCATGACCTTATGTAATCATCTCATCTACATTTGTGCCGTGCTTCGTATATTTGATGTATATTATCTCATCATTTCTTTTTTGGCCATCTATTCAAAGAGGGTTAAAGTGACAGAACCCAATGGGACATGATGGAAGGAATGCAATAATGGAAGAGACTGCCAGAAAAGAAAAAGGAGAGTAGTAGTGAAAGATGGATGACAGGGGGACGGTGGTGGGATGTGGGAACCCCATATCTATCACAAGTGTTGGCGGTGGGTGGCAAGCAATTAACTCCAATATTTCTCTTTTCTTTCTTCTTTAATTTGATGCATCCTTTTACCTCCCCCCCCCCCCCCGTTGAAAGTTTGTGTGATTGGGAATTCAATTAGGGGAGGATGTATTAGATTTATAGGGTGGGGTGAATAAGACTTATCTATCCCATTCTCATTCCTATTTTGGTGCATGTATACACATGGATATTAATTATATTTGTTGAAAATAAATTTGATGTACAATAAAATGTTTTTTAATAGTTTGTGCCGATTACAAAATAGTATATGTTCAGAAATTTTTAATCAATTGGTAACACACTCATACCATGTAGACTTATTTATTCAAAAGCAATAATTTTAGGAATAATAACCTCCCTTTTACTATTAAGACCAGTTGATGAATTCAAAATAAAATATTAATATTCATTATAAAAGTAAATTATATAAAATAAAATAAATTTATTATATTGTAGCATAACTAATATTTTAAAAACGATTTCGTCAAATAGATGTAATATTAAAATTAATATTGTTCCTAAAATTAACACAATAATTCACATTCATAACCTTAAGAAAGATGAATTTCATTTTTTAAAAAAAATAAACAATATAATAGAAACAGAAAAAATAAGGAGAAAAAGGAAGAGAAAAGACGAGGGGATAACCTTATTATTTATTGGGATGTCATAGGACAATTAGGTAAAAATCAATAGTAATTATAAAGATAGAAAATTTAAAAAGTATTATTACTTTTAATGATTAATAAAAATATCATAAAAAAATTTTTAAAAAAAATTATATGTTAATACAAACACAAATTAAATAGATAACATTAATATGTCTAATCTCAATTACTTTATAAGAGAAAACAATGAGCAAACACATTTAACCAACTGATTAAATTATTCCGTGTTCATTTTTATCCCCTCATATTCTTTTAGATCATGAATTTTAAACTCACTTGGAAATTGGAGCACTTTTTTTTCTTCTCTTAGAGTTCACCTTCTCTTTCCCTTCAAGTATGATTAAAATTTGTTTCAGAATTTATAAAAAGAAAATTATATATCAACACTTAATTATTTCTAAACCACCGTTATTTTCTTATCCTTCTAAATGCATATAATGAGTTTAGATTATACTTAAAGTTGAATCTTAAATAAAAAAAAAAATAAGATTCTTTTAATGTTATTCTTTTATAACGACGTTTAAATTTAAAAATAATTATAGAACAAGTCATCAGTCTATCGACAGATGCTAATACCCATATATCTCATCTAATATGCATAAACTAAATTATTTTAATGACTTAAGGGGTGATTGTTTTTTTAGTGATTCTAAATTCAAACACCAAAAAATCATCAATTGTATAATATTTAAACATTTATTCAAAATTATTAAAAAAATTTAAAATATATATAATTACTTGTAATCGTCGTTATTTTAATAAAAATAAAATATATCCCATCTAATATCATAAACACGATGAAGAGGCTGGTCATGGTGACTGTGGTATGCAAGATTTTAGCCATCGCTTCACTTGGATAATGTGGGAAATAGGAAGAGGAGGGGGGACCCAAAGTTTCGTCGCTTGGAGAATTTTGGATTTTATGAAGGATCGTGACTTGTCTGTCAGCTAATTAATCAAACTCACATTAATTTTGGCATCAATCCCTATACAATGAAGTGCATGGGTTGACCGTCAACAATGTATATACTTTACTTATTTTGCAAACACGGTAATTTTCATGCAGTTTTAACCTTTTTCTTACCCCATTTTTTTTACCTTCGTGGAAAATTAAGCACTAGTATGCCACCGATAAAACTTGAAACTTTTTTCCATGTTTTCCTATGTGAATTTATGTCTTGTTCAATTTCTTTATATTATTTAAAAATAATAATTATACGGTAATATTTATTCAGAATTCTTTTAATTATTAATTATATATATATATATGCTATAAATATAGTTATTTGAATCATAATTTTTTATGACTATAATCACTCAATGAATTTATAAAAGATAATATATGTTAAAAATATTTTTAGTTATTAATAATACATACATTTCATATAAACATAATTATTGATACCATAATTTTTTATGTAGAACAACATTTTTCTTTTATGGTTTATAAACAAATTATTTTATTTACGTAAAATAAATACACTTTTGATCAGAAACATTTTATAAAAGATATAATTAATTATATATATTTTTATCTTACGTGGTGTCTTAATTAGAATACGCTTTTAGTAGATTGTGTCTTTCGAATAATTTTTAAATTAAAATCTAATTGTTTAATAACTTAGTGTTTTATGGAAAATTGTTTAGAATTAAGTTTATTTATGTTTAAGGTAATGTTTGTCTTTTTAAAATAAAGAAAACCTTTTAGGTTTGTGCAATGTTTTTTACATGCAACCAAAAAAAAATAGATTTAAAATATAATTATTAATATAAATTTGTTTTTCAAAAATATGTATTATATTTAAATTGAGTAAAGTAGATAAATTAGCGTGACAGGTTAGGAGTTCAATTGGTTTGGCATGATAATAGTTAGAAAGGAAAGAAAATTAATGTGACATTTTAATTACTCAAACATTTTCTTCTTTTTCCTTGTTTTAATTTCAGTCCCAAAAGCATGATATTTTAAAATAAATAAATTTAATGACGACATTAATAAAGTCTTGCCATCTTAATTACATCAAAATTAAGTTGTCTCAAGATGTTCTATGGAAATTAGAAATTTCATTTAAAAAAATTATGAAAAAAATACATGGTATAAAATAATAATAGTGTTTCCTGTTATTTATCGTGTATTTTATAAATCCATTGAATGGTTGTTTAATATTTATTTTATTTTCGTAAAAGAGGCAATAAAGACAGAGGTAGTGAAACGGGAAACCGCGACTTTAGCATGGTCCCACAAACGTAGACAAGGGGAAGTGTCTTTTTTATTTTCATTTATTTCTTTTTTTTGACAAAAAGTTACTTAATACCAAAAAGAGAGAGATCCCACGCTTCACACACGTGATAGGTTAGTGGGGCCCATAATTTGGGCCACGTTCGCAACGGACCCTTCACCTGTTTTTTTTTAATTTAAAAATTGTTAATGGGTGCTTGGACCGTGTATATCGGCTTACGTGGCAAATACTGTATGGTGATAACACGTGGCAGATATGCCGCACGTCATATATATATATGACAGACAGACAGACAGCCAATAATTCAGTTTTTGGTTAAAAACACTAATAAATCTCACGTTTGACAGAACCGAAAAAGTGAAAATGGGTAAATTCCCTTTTTGCCCATGGTGAGTCTATCTTTTACCGAGACAGCACGGCGTCAGTAAAACCGAACCTAATAAAATTTTAAAATTCTAATTACATATTCAGTCCCTGTGAGCTTCAAATATTTCTATTTGTACTCTTTACTTTTTTAATCCATGAATTTATTTTTTCGATTTAGTAATTGAACCTTAACTGGTAACAAGGTTGAAATTTTTTATTAAAGTATTTATTTGGTAATATTTAAATAAATTTGCTCACGTGATCAATACTACACTCATTGACGCAAAGTAAAAGTTGATTCTTTTTTCTTATATGATTTTTCACGTATTTTTAAATAATTTGATGTGATTATAAGGAAATATTTATTTAAAAAAAATAATCATTGATAAAACACATATCCTACAGATGCAACTACTCGAACCTAGATCATATAGAAATACAATATTTACTTTTATCATGAGACCACTAAATTTATTAAAATTAAAATGAAGGTGCTAAATTTTAAATGTTTAAAGAATACAGGGATCAAGGATTGAGTTAGGCAAAAAGGGGGAGTTTATATTATAAACCAAATCTAATCTAAATGACAAAATCTGCCACTGCCTCCCCATGTTTTTCTAATTTTAATATAAAGAAGAGGAAAGTCTTTTCTGACTTTTTCTCTCTTTTGCTCTCTCACTATTAAAAACCAAACCCAAATTAATCTGTTGTTTCTTCATTCATCTCATTTTCCCTTTGTTCTCTCCTCCTTCAGGGCCAAAGAACTCTCCTTCTCTCTCTCTCTCTCTCTCTCTCTCTCTCTCTCTCTCTCATTCCCTTCTTTCACTTATATATCCTTCTCAAAGAACAACATCAAAGCTTAAGCACAAACGTAGAAGCAAAGGCTCAAATGGAAGTCGAGGCTCCGAATATGAATCTTTTCCCTCAGTTCATCCCCAACGGGTAAACTTCAAACTAAATCCACCTCTGTTTCTGTATAAATTCTGGGTTTTGTTAACATTTTTTTGTTATTGTAACAGAGATTTTACTTGTGTTTCTTTGGTCGATACAATGCAAGAAGCTGCTCTTTATCAATCCCTTTGCAAAACTTCAATCAATAAAACCGACAGTGGCCTTACGTATAACGTGAACATCCCGGTCTCGGCTCCGAGGAAAAGGCCAAGAGATGCATCGTTTGTCAATTGCTTCGATTCGTACACTGTTCCTCGAAAGAATAAATCTTTGGGCGTTTCTTCTGTTGTCGATAATGGTGTTTTCTGTCAGATCCAACAACAGCAGCAGCAGGAAATCGACCGTTTGATTGCCCAACATGTGAGTTTTTTTTTCTCAATGGTGTAGGTTAACAAATAACAAGGACAGTTTATTGATTTTTGTCTGTGTGTGTGTGTTTATTTACAGATAGAAAAAGTGAGGGTGGAGATTGAAGAAAAGTGGAAAAAACAGTCGAGAATGTTGTTCACGTCAATCCAAGACGGCGTCGTGAAGAAACTGAAGGAGAAAGACGTGGAGATTCAAAGAATGGGGAAACTGAACTGGGTTCTTCAAGAAAGGGTTAAAAGCCTGTGTTTAGAGAACCAACTATGGCGGGACTTGGCGCAGACGAATGAAGCCACGGCCAATTCTCTACGCACCAATTTAGAACAAGTCCTGGCTCATGTCGGCGAGGAACGAAATGCCAACGACGGAGGCTTGACGGATTTGGTTGATGATGCGGAGTCTAGCTGCGGAAGCTGTGATGAAGGGTGGCGCAACGTGGTGGTGCCGCCGCAACAAAAACCACGGGAGGCGCTGGTCGAGGACGGTAAAAGGAAGTGCAGAAAGTGTGGGGAGAAGGAGTCCAGTGTGCTGTTGCTGCCATGCAGGCATCTTTGTCTCTGTTCAACGTGTGGGTCCACCCTGGTAGGCACTTGCCCTGTTTGTGACTCCCTCACCAATACCAGTGTTCATGTTAACATGTCCTGAAAGCATTGTTATTTTTAAGAGTTCTAGCGAAACAAAAAACAGAAAAAAAAGAAAGTAAAATGCAAATATGGTTTTAATAAATGGATCACAGAAATTTTGTTATATTTTCACACTTAATTTTATATTTAAAAAATAACAAATTTTATCATCTAATCAACATAATTGATTTTTAAATATTTATTTTAAATTAATAATTAATAGTATCTGATTTTTTTAATATAAAGATCGCTATTTTTTTCAATTCCAATTTAATTTAAAATTTTAATCAAATAAATATATTATTTGAGTTATTTCTTTATAAAAACATTTATTTACATAGGATTTGCAGGAGAAATTGATTATTTTTCCTCTTTTTTGTAACTGTGAAAATAAATTAGGAATTCAGTGAATAGTAATATAAACAAAGAAAAGAAAGAATGATAAAGTTAAAATCTGAAATAACTTTTTATTTAATAAAAAGTAAAATAAAATTATTTTACCAATCAATTTAATTGAGTTGCTCCAGCTGAGAATTTCAACCCTATTTAAACATAAAATATTAAACATTAATTTAATGGAAACTGGTTCTATTCATCTTACCTAGAAATAATTGAATTAACAAGGCATACACATTTGACTGTGAAAGCTACATACAATTGCTGTTAGTTTCCCAATTGTCATGTCATGATCATATATGGGTGCAATATTTTATATTAGAGATTTTATATTATTAGCCGACCCTTATTCTCATATGTAATTGGTTAAGGGGAGGTAGAATAGTAGTCTGTCCTCAACGTCAGGTTAAAAGCAACTTCCGTAGGAGACCTCTGAATTATGAAATGTCATCCGTGGGACTCGATCCTGATAAAGCTAAGATTATTATGATGTAATCTCATGATAAAGCTACGTATTGTTTAAAATAATTTGCCTTTGAATAAGGAAAAATTAAAGGACCGGCAAAAGCAATTATGGGACTAACAAAGCTATCATATTTATGCAACTCAAGTACTATTAGTTGCCTTTCCTTTTCACTGATGAAATTTGCTATTCATTTACTTTTAATTAAAATACTATATATGCCCACTAGCTAGGTAAGGTTGCCTTACTTTGCCTAGCTACTTAATTAGGACTTAGTTGTAGGATTATGTTAATATATCTAATCCAACTATCTAAGAGAGATTTTTGGTTTGTCTGGCTTTGCTATTGTTGTCATTATTATATTGGGTAAATTATAATTTCATCACTTGGCTTTCTCTTTGTTCTTATTTTGGTCACTAAATTTAGAAATTTTCAATTCACTCATTGAACTTTCGATTTACTCATATTTTGGTTACTATATTGTTAAATACTTGACGAGGTCATGATTGGATATTGTTCTTTTAGAAATTATTAAATGACCTCAAAACTTTCTTCACTTTTTTTTGAAAAAAAAAACATAGTTTTAAATTATCTTTGATTTCTAGATGATAAAACATATTTTTTCAAATCCCAACGATGGGGTGGTAGAGAAGGAGGAAACGAGTTGCGTATATTGATTCCAAATTGATATGATGTTGAATAGTATATGTTAGAGTGATTTGAGATTTTATGAGATTTGTGTTTAGGGTTGAGTTTTACAAGCTTTAAAATGATTTGAGTAAAATCTAAACTGATAAAGTGGTTGAAGATAATGGGATGAGTTCATCGATATCTTGAGTGGTCAGAGAAGATGTCGAAGAATGGTAAAAAACAAACAAATAGTATTTTGTTTTAATTTAAGAGTCATAATTTATAATATAGAGGGGTAGCAATATATATTTACCATTTTAGGGGCAAAGTGTCTGCCAAACTTCTTGCAGCAAACATGTGAGTTGGAACATTAATTTTGTTAGTTTGCTGGATATAAACTATTGAATCAATGATCTGCCCAATAATTTAACAATAAAGTTCAATGGAGTTATGTAACTGGACCAACTTTTCGTTTTTTATGAAGTACAGTGATGAAATTCTAACAAACACAGTAGATAGATCAAATTCTCAATTTTCATAAAATATAAGAATGAAATTTTTAGAAAAATAGACTTTTATTTTAATATAAACCTTAGGGATAAAAACACATTTGGTCTCTATTTTTTTTATTCGTAGTAGTCTTTAAATTTGGTACTTTGATACATGACATAATACAAGAATACCACATCATCAAAATGATTAAAAACTTAAAATTTATGTACTATTTCGAATAAAAAAAGTTAGAGATCGAATTGAGAAAAACAGTTAAGTTTAGAGACTAGGTATTTATTTACCCCTAATTTTAATAATTGATTAAAGAAGAAACTGACACGTCAGGCAATATGAAACTGACGCTGAATAGAAAAATTAGACCCAACCCCCTGGACCCCGCTGGTTGAAATAAATTTATTACATTAGTTTTTTTTTTAAATGCAACAAAACAACAACAGTGTCCTGCAATTATAATTAGTAAATGTGATGTGGGAAATCTGCATGGCAAATGGCAATTGCAGTCCCCCATAATATCTCATATTGCAGCGTAAAAAACAAGGTAAAGGCAAAAACAAAACACAGAAAAGACATTAAAGAGATGTTGAAGAGATATCATAGGAATTATGACATGAGATGCCCTAAAACCAAGTGTTTTCCTTTTTAATAAATGTCTATGTCACTCACTGTGTGTGTGTTGTGTCAGAAGATATATCATCGAACCCCACAAAGAGATCCTTTATAGTTTCATATGGGTGGATATCTCTTCACTTTCACACACTGTGTCTACCTCAAAATTAGCATTATTCACTTACTATTTCATCTTCATCCACTTGCTTTTGTTTGCATTTGTGTATGGTTCTCGACCTAACCTGGATGACTTATCTTCTCATCTCATCAATGGTATCGTTTCAGGATATCATATAATCGAAATGGTGGATTTCTGATTTCGGTCCCTCTATTATATTTAAAGTATTGTTATACTTATCTAAATCTCTTTTGTTGGTCAAATCTTACGTTTATCAAAATCTTCATAATTTCATGTCCTCTTAACTTGACTTTCGACTCCTCTCTCTCTATATATAATGATTTGGTTAATTTAATTTGTAAATTTACAAATAATAATCATAATTCTAGATATGACACAACTACTTAAGATCAATATATAAGACTCCATGTGAGACTGAAATAAATATTTTTTTCTCTTTCTCTTACATTATTTATTGTCTTTAGTGACGTTTACAACTGTTATAACTCACATTTTACCATCAACCAGAATCATAATTGATGTTGTTCACACAACTATTAGACTGTATTTGTGATGAGGTATTACATGCTTAAGAGGTGATTCTCGGTTTTACCCTTTTGGAAATGGCGTGCACGAAGGGAAGATGGCTCTTGTTATATGTAGTCGGAATAAAATTTTATGTTGATTTAATAAATAGATGAATATATACATATGTGTTCGGTTCTTCTATGTTTACGAACAAAGTCGTGTACCCGATTTCCCTTTTTTTTATTTTTAAAAATTTTAAGTATTGATGAAAATAAGAATAAAATTACAATGTTAAAATTAAAATAAAATATTAAAAAGAAATCAAATCGTGTAATATAAATTCTGAATGGAGCATAATATAAGAACAAAAATGATCACATTATAACCGATCAAAATCATACAATATGATAGATGAGTCGATATCAATAGGCAAATATGGGACAAATGTGGCGTTTATAGAAGAACGTGTGGGTTAGAGACACATCTTTTAGGTATAAATAAACAAAGAGAGAGCAGTGTCCAAGGGAGATGAATAATGAATAATGAAAGGCAAACCCCATGAGAAGAGCAAAAAAATAACGCAGGAAACACGCCGATGAACTGCAGCAAAAGGTGTGAAAAGATAGTGGTGGGCTTATGGAAGTGTGAGTGATGAGCGTGAATGAAACATCATGGGTCCAAACACTTTGGCGTTTACCACCATTTTCTTTTTTTCTGCTGCAGTCTCTGCAAGTGCTGCAGATGAATGCAGCACTTGATTTTCTTTTTGCGTGCGTTGGCAGAGAGCTGTGCTGTGTTGTGTTGTTGTGTGGGGTGCTAATCTTGGAGGGTGCAAAGCCGACAAATATCAGAGAAAGATTGAGAGAGATGATGGAGCCCTGTTAAAAAAGTATGGTGTGTGTGTAAATGTACAACTAACGCACGAAAACAAAGATGATAAAATTAAAAATAATAGGTTTAATTTTTAGTTTCATCCTTTATTTTATGAATATTGATAAGTTGGTCTCTCTATTTTAATTTGTTAGAACTTTCACCATGAGATCATCAAATTTTGAGAGAAGTTAATGTTGGAAAAGTTAGTTAAATTATCTATCTAATTATAAAAATATATAGGAGTTATTGTAAGAGCTAGTATAATTTATCACATATAAAATATTAAAATTTTCTTAATTCTCTACGTATAAATAAATTGCAAATTTTAATATCAACTAATTAATAATAAATTTGTTATATTTTTATAGAAGGTCTTCCACGTGTTATTTATGTATCTCATGATCTTTGGAAAACCTCCTCTATAATCAATATTTTGAAAGAGTATTTTCGGAGAAAAAAATTCTAATTACCTAAACATTTCTTGTGAGACTGCGGTAACTTGAAATTACCGTTAAAAAGACTAACATAACTTACTAGAGTCAAATATATTATCGTTTGATCATGTCTATTTAAGTTATCAATCTACGAGTAGTTATAATATTCTCACACACATTATTAATAATTCCAAGAGTTATTATAAAATATTTCAAACGAGACGAGAGGATGATAAAATTCATTAGTCTCCTCATTCATTCAATCCGGGGACTTAAATATCGATTAGTGATTGTACTTTCGTCAATTATAACTTTTCATCTAAATTAAAAGAGATGAAACCGCCTATAATAATCGTAATTAATTTATTTCATAAATAAAAATGTAACAATATTGTTAAACCATATTAACTTTTTGGATTTCCATAAAATGGAAAACCAAATTTACCAATAAACCTAAATAATAATAGAAAAAAGGAAGACCCATGAAGCTACTAATTTTGGCAGATCAATTTCAGTGGCTTGAACAATGACAAAAAAACCTTTCATGGGATGGAGGGATCAAA